GCTGAAACTCCCAATACCTAACAAGCTACAGATCTATAGGAAAAACATACGTTTGATAACTTTACTTTTTTAATTGTTCACATAGTGAAGGATAATCGTCTTTCCAAAATTATTTTCGACATATTTAATAATTTGCTCAGAACCACTGCCAGTTGTTATCATTGGTATAACAACTTGCAACGGATCATTAGTTAATCTCCTGAGGCACTCATCATTTGTCAGATACTGTCTATCGCAAGGGTAGTTGTGGATCATCTTAGATGAAGCCATTATGTACCGGTTGAAAACACCACAAGCGAAACATGGCTTGGCAACCGGTAAATTCTGATCCATAAAGAAAAGAACATAATAGCAGTTATTTACCCTTTCACTTTCTGACCATTGCCCTTTGACTTCATTTTATGGCCAAAACAACAAACATACACAAAACACTGATAGCGGATTTCCGGCTTTTCATCGTTCACTTTGCTTTCTTACTCAGTGTAATGAGTCCAAGTGATCTAATAATGCTATATATTCAGTAACAAACCCTAGATAATAGATCTATAGCACCTCTGACTTGGTCTCAGTTTGTCAGGTTCCTGGCTCAAATAATCCTTTCGAATAGATCACTAGTATCCACAACAACTGAACACTCAGTATTAGTTTGACTCGTTGATGGTAGAGGGTTATCCATAATACTAAATAGAATAACAACCCAGAGATCGTTTTCTATTATAGTTATCGATAACATCATAAATGACACTTAGGATAGAGCATGAGGACAGTTAGAAAATCCCAGACGGCAGCTAAAAAAATACTCACACGGGTGTCTGATATCTACAAAACTGATTGCCATTTTATCATATAAAGTACGTAAGCACGCCTGAAAGAATGCACTGATTCGAGTAGAAGTTGTAAAAACTGATAAAACAAAACTGATTCGAAAAAATGAACGCCAACACTTAGAATATCACATAAATTGCGGGATTTCAGTACACTGGTGAATTAAATTCTGCAGCGATACCAAAAAGCCTGCCGAAAAACACCGAACGAGACTAGCAGACCACTATTGCTTACGAAGATGGCGGAAATTATAATTCCCGATTCATCCTGATTGGTTACTAAGTAGACTACCGAAATTGTAAACTGGAGTTGAGTTTATTTCCATCCAAGTGATATTTAGCACAGATTATCTGGTTTACTTCACTTGACGTTAAGCTATGAAGAATATTAGCCATAAAAATACTTCAAGCGGTTAGGCAAAGATAAATACATAAATACATACAAACAAGAAATAACTAGTAACTCCTAGTCAGTCAAAGTCTGATAAAATTCTATTTAATGATAAAAGCAAATTTTAATAATATTCACGTTTAAATTGTTTAACCATTTCAAAGTAAAGTATCAACGAATAAATCTCATTTCAATCAATCCTAATAGTATAATTGAATCGGAGAAAATTGAGACAATTTACCAAATTAAAGTTGTGTTTGATAATTAAATGATTTATGAAGTAATTTTCAGTTAGGAGATCATTGAAATCAGATAGAATTAGATTACTCAACAATTATTACTTTGAAGTAAGTAGGTAATAAAATGTAATTTAATAAATTAAAAACTAGCGATAGCTAATAAACGTAATTGTGAAGTTTTAAAAACATTTAAAAGAAGGACTAACCACTTGATATAAAAAATTTTCAGTATGGGGTTGTGAATATTGTTGGATTGAGTTAAAATTATAAACCGATATGATTTCGACAACTATCGGGAAATTAGAAGCACCAGAGTACTGTTTTGTTCTAGCATGAGACTCCGCACCAATGTTCATCGTCGACTTTGTACGCGGAAATCGAATCCAGAACCTTTGATCTTGGAAGTGAACGTCTAGTCTCTAGACTACTGAGCTGGCGTCTAATGGTGTTAATATCTAACCTCAATAAATCTTCAGTATTGGGTAATCATGTTCCATTGTCCTTAATAGATAACTGCTCGACACCCTACACCAATTAGCTCCAATTGTTACAGATTCCTACTAAAACTCCAAAACTTTCCTCTAAAAGTAAGTTACTAGCGAGGGCATGACAAGCGTTCATATGCAAGACATAGGGGTTTTGGGTTCGGTCTCAGCGTGTGGGGTCGTGGATACATATTTCTGAGAAGTCCAATACTCAGACAAAAAGGCTATCCAGTGCTTCCAGGTTTTAAATTGTTATCTAACCTAGGTAGACTCATGATTTCATTAATATTAAATCCTTCAAATCATCATCAAAATGAAACTGAAATAATTGACACTAGTAATCACCTTGCAAGAACTTTTACCATTATTATAAAAAATCATTCACTGATTCTAGGAAGTTTATAAACTAAGTTTCATCTAACATTATCAATGTCAAATAAGCATGAAAATATAACCAGAATTCATGAAAAAGATCTATCGTATCACTGAAGAATAATAATAAAGACAGTTCAAAAACGAAAATCTTCTTTTTGACAATTTCATTTACTTCAAGTTTTCTAGTATTATTCAATACTATTCTTTATTATTATTATTATTATTACTATAAAAGCAAGTATACGGCTAAATTGAATGAAACTATTCAAGAACACAGATCGATGTCTATTCCAATGGGTACAAATAACTTTGGAATTTTGAAAGCTTCTAAAAAAATACAAAAACAAATCTAATATATAAAATATTCAGTGTGATATTAAGTTTAAATAGCCAAATACAATGGTTTCATTTTCAGTATGTTCAACAAAGTTTTTAGTAATAATAAATATATTTTTTGTTATATTTCAATGAGTAGAAAGAATTTGCATTTCTGACGTTTCGTGACTTAATGTAGGCGACTTCTTCAGAGCGGGTATTTATTCTCTCTCTCTCTCTCTCTCTCTCTCTCTCTATATATATATATATATATATATATATATTAGCGGTAATGACTATTTCCTCCTCATCCGATCCAATAAATAGTTATTATATCCTTCCCTCTACTTATAGTCTTAACTTGTTTGACTAGTTAAAACAGAATACTGTGAATCACCTTTTATTTTGATTAATATAGGCAAATCCCGAATAAGGTCAGCAGGTCATATTAGTAAAATGGAATGTTTCGACCCTCTTCATTTATTTAGTATCTAAATCAGTAGCATAAGAAAATACCTTGCCGAATAAAAAAATCTTTATATTAGTAAGATTTGTCGATTAGATGCCACAAAGTGCATTACCATATCGATTGGTAACCTTGCTATAACTTGATCGATAGAATTCAATCAGCATTAAGGAATAAACAACATGATACCGATTATCAATAAATTATCGGTTAGTGTACAAGGATTTTGATCATTTAAAGGAGCGTTTACGACATAGAATAATTGTAATGTCTTTGGCAGTAACGATATGTTACACAGGTTAAAACCTGTAGAGAACGTCAGTCTTCTTAGTACTGTACAAGTACCTTCTTGTTGGTTGTTTACTAAAAGCGGACTTAGACTAAGTGCTATCATGTAAATACCTTAAAATACGTACCACGTACGTTTACGATATGACATCAGTGTACAGCCAATATGCAATGTAGCTTTTAGACTGATTTTGAGTAGTGAGTAAAAACCAACTTTGTAGAAATCATAAATAGAAGCAATCCATTCAAACAATCTTTAAATTCTTAAAATAAACAAACTGAAGCACTAAGTTTCCAGTATAATTTTTTAGACATTTTCGGATATATATATATATATATATATATATATATATATATAATTATAATGTCTAAACTTTGATCTATAGAAGAGTAGTGGATAAGCAGTTCTGAAGAAATCCATACTAGGATGAAACAGCCGTCCCCAGTTTTTCATAATATTTCAACTGCAATCAATCAGCGAACAAAAACAATCCACAAATTAATGTGATCTTCATAAAATCCCTTCAAATATACAAACATATTTCCATTTAAACTCAATTGGTATTGTTTTACTTAAATCATCCAGATATGTCTTATCGGTTGAACGCTACTTGTTATATCTGGTCATCGCTGATTGTTATATCGGAAACGCTTATCACCTATAATTGAAACGAGGGATCTCTGCAATTCCTACCACGCGAAAGTAAGAACACAAATACTGGTATAATCGATTATTTATTAACCCCAAAACACGACCACGATCACCCTAATCAAAAATACACTCATTTATATGTTGATTCGTATACCCATTTCTCATTAATAATTAGGATGATATCACATATATGAAAAGTACTTACAGTTATAACAAATCATATACTGAGTATAGTTCATGTCAATGGAATACAAGAATAACTTATGTCATACAGAATAAAAGATCACATTGGGAAACAGAAACAAATTCTACATTGAGTAATGATCAGATTGAATTAAAACGGAAATAATGCTGAACAAAACTGAAAATGAATAAATCAATCGAATTTCAACTTTTCTTCCCATCATATCACTTCCCATTAATGTTTAGCACTGCAATTAATCAGTCTCTTATTGACATATGTACATTCTATGCATATCACCTTGATATTCCCTTTTTTCACTGCTAACTACTATTCATCTTTGCTTATATTTCCTATTAAATTTTCTCATCAAAAGTCATAAATAAATATAAATTCCAAACATCCATTCATAGTTTGTACAAATATAATTCACATACTTATTTGATTGGTTAGTTAATAAACTACACTGATTGGTTAAAAATATTTACAGTTTAATTTTTATTTATTTATTTATTGTCTAATCTTTTGCCATATTGTTTAATCTTATAACAAAATACACTAGCAACTATATTATATTTACACATTGTGTTCTATAAATACTCCATTATAGTACATCTGATTTCAAAAGTCAATAATAAATAAAAAAATTAAAAAAAATTCATTTTATTCTACTTCTCAATCAAGTTCATCAACATTTACTTTTTTTTGCTTGTACATTCCATTTTTAATGTTGTTTTAATCAGACAAAACAAAACTAAAACACAAATTTCTATTCATTAAATCAATGTTTATGAAAGAAATTTTATTGAATTGTTTCATGAATAAATTTAAACAAATTCAACAATATTCAATGTTTCTATATCTATATCTATTTGTAATTATTATTCAATTTCATATCTCTAATATAAATGGACAAAATATATTAAAATATGAACCAAATATTAAATGGAAAACTAATAAACAATTAATAAATAATCATAATAATAATCATGAATATTATGCAACAGAAATTGTGAAAAAATCAAAAATGATTCAACTACCAATTGAACAAAATGTTCTAGAAAATTCTAAAACGTTTGATTGGTTTAAAAATAGATCAATGAAAAAAATATATAAAACAAATCATCATAATAATAATAAAAAAATAGGGAATATAAATATCACGGTAAGTCACAATGGTTTATCAATAGAGAACATATTATTATTATTTTATCATTATTATCATCAGCTTTATTCAATATTATATTTTTGGTACAATATAGAATTCTCAGCGCAAAGTATTTCAACAAGTTTCCGTTTCTTTCTTCTTGGTCGGTCCTGGCGATAAATATTGAGTGGTCGCCAGTTAGATGTTAGCAGTTCAGTAAATGAACATCTGAATAATGTGCATTCTTTCCGTTGTATATTGCCAGCAACCACATTGTCTCTTATTGAGTTTTTTGTAACTTTGACAACGAAAGGTTGTACACTTTTCAGGAACACAGCAGAATAGGTTATGCGATTAAAAGACGTAATGATATATTAAAGCAAACAAAAATAGACAACTTGTTGAAATATTTAGATGACAGGAACAGGTAGCCCAGATGCTCAAGCATAAGAATATGTTTTATCAGTGGGACTATAATTTATGAATGAATCAGTGATATTTAAGATAGTAGATCTTAGAATTTTGGCACGAAATTTATTCATTTATTTGGTTAAATATTATTACAGCATTATAGATTATGTTAGTTCGTGATGAAACCATTGACTCTGATTTCTAATTCTAATTTTCAACTATAAATCTGAATCTTAATTTCTCACATAATCTATGACCTTTATTGAACCCGAGATGGACGTTTTCAAGGTCATTTTAGTGGTGTTCAAAAGTCATCCATAAATTATAGTCTCATTGTCTTATCTTTTTTTGGTTTGGTTGCTTAAACTGAAGGGATTTTAACTTATGACCAATAAATCATCATTTAGTGTGAAATTATTTTTTAATCGCAAACCGAAATTAGGATACTTCTCTGAATAAATGATATGTTAAAACAAATAGTCATATGATTCTACTCAGAGTCTGTTAACAATGTCAAACATATATATATAGACAGAATATTTTTATTCAGGAACATTTATTAGCACATAACTACAAAGTGGTTATTAGTTATTTCCAAACAAGGTAGGTGGTATGTGCTACTGATGTCGACAGATATAAGTAGTATGTAAATAAAAGAGAACGAGAACAAAGAATAATTGGTATGAAAACGAAAAATTAATGAAGTCTCGGACGATGCTCTGTAATTTTATATTCAAATACATTCTATCGTCCTCACTTTTGTTCTTATTCACTACAGTAGGATATGATACAAATACGTGTTGCTTTACTTTGATACAGTTGATATTTAAACGGTTCGACCTAGAATTTATTCAAATTACCTCTATTTCATAATGTGTAGTATATAGGAGTGACTAACAAATGTATTAAACACTTTAGCTTTACTGTCGTTTCAATCGATCTATTATTTATACATTCAGAATAACAGTAGAATATTAGTCTTATTCCAAATTAAGTTTTTTTTTTCAAAAAAATTTATTTCATGTTCTTTTAAACACTTAACTGACTGATATTTTGTAATTTGACTTACTTTTTTTTATAAACAACTGAATGTAATTGTAGAAATTAAGTCACATGTAACGTAAATTTTTGTATATTTCTTTAATAAAACAGACATACATGCGAGTAGATATTGATAGATTGCAATCCTGAATATTAATAACGGGAAACTACAAATCATTGATAATAAATTAGCTTTAGTTGTTAAGCCACCTTAGTAACCGACAGTAAACATTTCAAGAATACATCAAAGTACTAAATTTGGAGAACATTTAATGGTTATCTGTTACGATGAAACAAACATCACTATCAAACTCTAATTGAACTTTGAAAATGTGTGATATTATTCACTTATGTAGGATTATGAATTATTGTATTTACTACTATATAAACTCTTTAATATGATAATCTTTACAAAGTGATCAACTCAATAATAATTGTAGGTCCATTAGTAATTAGCTTCAATAGACATTTACGGAATTTTTATGGAATTGAATGATTTAGAACGAAACATTGGTGATATTGAATAATGTTTATTCCATGGAACCAATTAGCTTAAAGCATGTAATTTAACTTGAAATTTTCATCTGGTAGTTGAATGGAAATCGTACTCAGCTCAGGACCCAGAATGAAGCCGAGGTTTAGCATTTCTGAAGAGTCTGAAGACATAATAAAGCGTTGTACAAATACTTCTGATTTTCTTTATCTCTCTAGTTGATAATAGTATGTAATTAAAATTACTTTTATTTTTGAATAATTGTATCCCGTTCCTCATAATGATATCTCGATGATCATGACATTCATATGTGAAGCATGTAGTCTTACTTCCAAATAAATAATTAACTAGGTGGTTCACAAAACCCTATGTATTTGCTATGTCATTGCTAATGTGAATACTGAATCTTTATTTTGAGCATAAACTAGAGAGTATGTGAATGGTTGTGTCGATAATAACATCTACCAAGATGACTAAGTGTATAGTACAGTTGAGGACAGTTAAAAATCTCCCTAAATAACCGTAAAAGCAAATGAACCTAAAGTTATGTTGAAAATAACTAAGGGAAGTGATTAGAGAATAATATCCAGATTTATTGATGCCCTGGTAACGGAACCATTTAATCCTTCCTCATGTATTTAGAAACAGTTTATTTTTACATCAACCCCACCTTGATAATATTGATTTTCACCTTAATCTTTAGGGTGATATGATAACACTATTTTTCCCCTTATTACTACTATAGCCTGTCTTACATTTCTCATCGATTTAATTTTTCTATCTTTTCAGAATTATATTTTGGACATGTTAAATATACGATCGAACTATTTAAAATGTTACAGACATGCACTAAATTAATGGTTATTAATTGAGTTCAGAAACCTATCTGAACTAATAATTGATTTTAGTTATCCTTTTCTCCTGTCAAGTACCTATGCTGTACAAACTTACATTCAGTGTAATGCAGTGTAAAAATATTAAACTGGAACTGCTTGATCATTATTTATCACGTCCAATTATTATTGCCTTTCTAGGATTACTTCCATTGCCTCATTGAGATCAGGTACTTTCATTTAACTCGTAAATAAGCTGTTCTTTGGGTATGGTTTATTTAGTACATGGAAGGTTACTCAATTAAAATGACAATCCATAAGAATTAAGCAAGTAATATGAAGTATAATCTAGTATCACCAATTAAATAACAGCGAATTACATGTATTAACAGTACCAATCAATATCAACTCCTCTGAAAGTAACAGAATTACGAAATTTTAAGAATAAATTATTTAAAAAGCAAGAAGTTGTAGTAAGTGAATAATCGTGTTTTATGTATCATGTAATAACATTAAATAAGCCCTAGTTTAATTCGTTTACTTTGCATGTCTAAATCATTTATGCTTAGGACTGGAATTGATCAGTCTTTTTGGCACATGTACATGTTGTGTGTATTGTAACTTAACTCTGGGATGCATATATATTTGGATGTTGAGTCCCAAATCGGATGAAATATACTTCCTGGATTCCACTGCAAGCTATCATCCATCTCTTCTTATAAAGCCCTAGCTTGTTTGATTTACCAAATAGTCATAGTTATTAAACAAATCGTTTATTATGAATCTGTCATCAATTCTCCAAGAATAGCTTAACATTTAATCAGTAACAGAATTTCTTCAAAAATTATGGCACATAAATTAATTGCTGATAAACACTACTATTTTGTTTTCGATTGAGATCATGAACCGATTAATGTTAGACCCACAATAGGACGAAACGGCCGTCCAGTGCTTACAGGTTTCCAAAGGTGATGGTCTAACATCAGTCGGTTCACGATCTCAATCAAAAAATTAATAATCTCCACAACCCCTATACTAGTAACTACCTTTTTGTGTTAGTCGGTATTTTAGTAGTATGCAGTTTTCTTCTTTCATGAAAAGTATCATTTGAGTTATATGACTTCAATGAAAATTCATGACTACTAGGTTGAAATAACTTGTAAATAAACTAATAACCTATCATAACTGTAAATGATGAGGTAGGTTATGTTAGGTGTCAAATAGTATCATTTAGATTGACTTTGCAATGATGACTTTCATATTGGGAATTAGAAATTTCTAGTTTCGATAATGTAATTAGAAGACGAAGATTATCAGAACTATGTGATATATTAGCGCAATACATTTCGAACAATCTGATCACACATATACTTGTTAAGAGCATTTATATATAAAAATAAAAGCCCCCAAATGCCCTGGTACGGCCGAGAGTGGGGAGAGTCCGCGCTCCCTCTCGAAATGCTCTCACATGGCCACGCGTATATAGCCTCTGCCAGGGAAGTCCTACTCACTGCCTTCTCGTGGCATTACTGTTGTTTACGAAAATGAGAGGACGAAAAGCGAATGTCGGGCGCTTTAACTGGATCCCAAACCAATGGTGCACATGGGCTCCAGTATCCTGAGCGAACGAATGGCGTATGAACTAATTGTTGGTCACCGGCTTCCATGGGACTGCATTTCCTCACGATGCTCCACTGCCTTGTGGATCAGACCTTCAGGTCGAAGGCTCGGGGAGTGGCCCCCTAAGAAAACCACCTGCTTCGGTTTGGGCACCCGGGCAGTATCACAGCCCTCACACATATCGAATGAGATTTGTGTGGCGCATATGTATTTGGTGCCTCCTTGTACCAATATCTATGTGTTAAAATAAATAAATAATAAACAACTAGACTGGAAACTGGGTAAGAGGAGATAAGGATAATGATAAGACAATTAAAATAACCCATAGTGTCATTGAATAAGAAAAAGAGAAATCAGCGAAGAAAATTTTCTTTTCGACGAAATCATTTACTTAAGCTGTACATTTTCCATATAACTATATATACGAATGTACAGCTTAAGTAAATGATTTCCTCGAAAACAAAGTTTTCTTCTCTGATTTCTCTTTTTCTTATATAACGTTAAGAGTAATAATAATAATAATAATAATAATGTGAACACAATTCGTAACCTAATCACTCTGGATAATAAGTCAATATTACCAGGGTAGGTTTAAGGTAAGAACAAACTGGTTTTGAACACACAAAGGGGGTTTGAATTTTCGTATGACTAAGGCTTCAATAAACCTTAGTATACGCCCTTTTACACTTCTATACAATACCACAAAAGTTGAGTTTAGATCAATCTTGTGACCTGTTTCAATTATATGTTTAGCAATAGAGGATGATGGATGTTTATCCTCCGCTCTTATTGGGTCACCTGATTGTATTTGTTTCTGCAGCCATTTGGGTACCCTAATGTTGAGATCACGATTGCTCCTCCCTATGTATGTGTGACCACACACACGTTTAAATTGGTAAACACAGTGGGATGTGACACAATCGTTTTCATGTCTTTTAGGTTTTGAACGAAGCATGCACCTTGTTCTTTCTTTGATGATGACCTTTGCTGTGCAATAGGTTTTATTGATGACTGATTTAAGTCTTTGTTTCAATAAAAGGCCATTTGAATAACCTCTGAACGGTAAGGTGATGTAGACAGGCTTTTTCTCTACCGTGTATATGTGTGATCAGACTGTTCGAAATATATTGCGCTAATATATCTCATAGTTCTGATAATCTTCGTCTTCTAATTACATTATCGAAATTTATCAACTGGACTAATTGTTTTAAATTTCTAGTTTGTTTAATTTCCTGTTAAAGCAGATTTTTTAAAATTCGATTATTTGTTCATTTAAAATGAAGTACAAGTCATGTGATTGGATGGTGTTACTTTATTTTGAATTTAGCAAACAATAAAGCTTGAACGGAATAACAATAATAATGTTATTAATCGTAAATTAGACCATCAGAATTCAGAACAAAGATTACGGAGTGTAAGTTATCGGAATAGAAGTGTTTCGGACGTGCACAATAATACTGATACTACAAATGATCCACTTATATTTATTAATGTCAGTAAACTACTTGAACGAGAAAAACGTCATGTTCCTTCAGTGGCACATTACATTCTTTCGCCGTTAGTAGCGAATCGAAAGAAAGATCCTTATAATTATGTCTCATTAACATCGTCATCATCTTCAACATCATCCTTACCATTAACTTATGGTTCACAGAATTCACGAAAGGAAAAGTCAACTAAATTTGGAACATCAGTAAAACCTAGAAAGCTGACAAGTCAATCATTTATCGCATACAATGTTGAAAATGATATTTTTAACTTTGTATTTCAATTTGTACGATATAATCGAACTTCTGTAGATTTGATTACGGTAAGTTAATCACTTTTCTATTTTATTGTCTTCATTTTTAGGCGTTTTTGTTATCATATAAAGCCTGGATGATTCGAACATATACACCATGAATAAAATTGAAACACTTGTCTAGTTTTTAGTTTTATAATCTCAATTTTAACTGGAGTGGTGGATCAGCGATCTGTGCGTTTAACTGTCAGTTACTAATTAATAGGTTTGTGCCATGAACCACATAGATCTGTCCGAGTAACAACTAGTGTCATCATCACACACACCTATTGTTTACTTCGCAGTCAATTACACTGGTCTAAAGATAAAACAGATAAAATTAATCTAGTACACTTTTTCACGTATTACATTTTTAACAGGTATTAGTTACTACTAATCCTAAATTCTTACCAAATAACACATATTTGCTCATTACCGATGCTTTAGTCATCATAACTCTGAAGAACAATACTTCAGAGATGAAATTATTATTCACTAGTTAACATCATAGGTGAAGCCATCAAGAAGCTGATCACTAGAGAATAAATGGTCATTATTCCATCAGTTTATTTTGTGAATTCATCAGTCATCAATTCAAATGTATAAGATTGAACCGCTAATTATGTAGTTTATAAAGATAATGAACTGTCTGACTCAGATATCCACAAACCAGTACAAAAAGAAGTATCTTAACATTAGAGAAGAAAAATGTTACTTCTACTTTGTTTTATATTTTTCTAAAATATTCGGATATAATTCAGTATACGTAGTTGGTCTTTGTAGATTACAAAATGTACATATATATATAGTATAAACAATATGTCTATAGACGCCTTTGATTAGTTTCTATCCTTTAGTGAGATATTATAAAAGACAATATGATAATTTTGTCTCCAATTTATTATTCTACCTATTCAGATAAAATAAAAGATAATCTAAGCAAGGGAGGAAATATAAAGAATTTTTTTAGAACAGTGAATATAATTTAGAAAAATATTATTGATCATTCAATAGACTGATTGGTTAGGTAATTGAATAAAAAAAATTGATTAGAGAATGAATTCACTAGTAGAAGAAACATACAAAACAAAAGTGTATCCAACCTTCTAAATGGGATAATAAATTAAGATTTATGTTAATGATAATGATAATAATAATAAGAAGAAGGAGAAGATAGATAACAAAAACATAAGTTATGTAGTTGGAACTTTTGTATTTATTTTGTCTGATAGACAAAACTAGGCAAATTATTTGAAATTATAATTGAACGAAGAAAATAAACACGATCATACTTTATTATATTGAATAATATACAATAAATTATAGTAGAAATTTTTAAAAAAAACACTCCCCCAGATACTAGATTCAGTGTTATGGTGGTAGTAGTTAGTATACATCAATAAAATGTCTGGACATAAGAGAAATATGTTAGCAACAGATGTCAGTTTATGATAATGAGAATCTAATTTACAAAATAAAAGATATTCGTTTTAAATAAGATTAGTAATATGCATATACTTACTTGTTATATATGATATGTTAAAGCTAATAAGATCTGAAGCAAATTTCATATTATAATTTGTATTTTTCATCAAGTGAATTTATTACATTATAACCTCTGCATTAATCAAGTTATATCATTACAAATAAAAGTATTATTTAACAAGAAATGTAGTTGTCAGTCAGTCAGTCAGTAACAACGTAGAACTGCGTACGTACGTACACCAGTTCAAGTTGCCATACTGCATTAACACAGAGATACAATTGTTGATTCGAATCCCGTAGTAGTAGAGGTAGTAAAAAGATAGGCAGTAATCGGAAAGATTAGGGTTTGAAGATGTTTGGAATGAGAAAAAAGGGAACATGAAGAATTCAGAAGATTAGAATTTGGGAGAAAACAAAGAGTGGATGCACCTGCACCATTGCAAACGATTTTAAGCTATGTCATTCAAGATCTCGCGGATCCCAACCAGATAGTCTACACCTATCAAAATATCTCAGTCCACCTTTCAGTGAATTCAATAATTTATGCTATGATTTGGTCTTGCTGCTCCTAACCTTCTTCCAACCTACTCCTACACCATAAAATGTAGTTGTAAAATGTTGAGAAGTAATTGATGTCACTGTTAATATTTGTTTCATTTGTACTGACTGATTGAGGAAGATATTAAATTTGAGATTTAATCATGATGATAGTGATGCATGTATATCGATTCGTGGTAATAACTACATCTGTAAAGATAGGTTGACGTAATTGAGGGAAATAGAGACAGCCTTATCAAGAGATCTATGAATTTAAATGAACTGTATAATATTGCTAGTGATTAGAAAACCAATCTATCTTTTACAAATAACAAACCTTTCCTGATTGCTTAATTAAGTGTTTATTATTTTCGACAAGTAATAAACAAATCATATTGTTTAGTTGTTCTGTCATTTTTTCATGTAAGCAATTGTTTCATTTATCTTGATGTAGTGAATCGACTAGTTTTTTTGTTGTTGTTGCTGGCAACATAGCTTTGTTCAGAGTTTAAAACTAGAACTAAAGAACTTGATTCTATCAGTGGTCAGATATTAGTTTAAAATTCAGTTAATAGAAATCAAAATCATCACTATTGTACAGATCGGTATACTTGACTTTAAACTACTCAATTCTTGTGAGGTCTATCCAAACACAGGTAGATAGAATAGAGTATATGACAAAAAGTGTTTTAAACCATTTAATTACTAGGCAAACGCTTTGTTAAATTTAGTCTGATATTCAATTGATTTGTATGGAAACAATTATTCACCATAGAAAATCTAATCCGTAACACTAACTGTTCTCTTCACTTGTTTATTTTGATAGATTATTTTAAAATATGGAGGAACATTATTAAGAAAAAACAAAACGAACTTCATTAAATGAATGAATACTATTTCATGGTATTCTAATCACTGTAAACAGTTACAGATAATAAGGGTTGGAAACAATAAAGACTAGTAAACATTAGTTAGTTAAGTTGAAAGAAATAAGGAAATTGTAATGATCAGAAATGAATAACATAAATTTAGATTAAAGTTGATGTAAATCAACAAGAAGAAAGTTCATAATGCTGTAGTGTCGGTTGCTATGTTAAGCCCACACAATTTATTCTCGCTTTCGGACAGACTAATTTATTCATTCTTCCTGAATCACATTTTGACCTTGTTGATTATTCGCTTATCAACCTTGACTTTTTATGTAAGCGTATATGTGTGTGTGTTTCAAATCTCATTCATCACATGTCTGTAACTTATTACCATCCGACTATAAATATCGATTAACACTTGATTAAAAGGAGTTGGCTCACACGCCTTCTCTACCGTGCGTCATTATGCTTCGTTCTATTCTCTTCGCTTTATTCTCTACGTCTCTCTGATTGTCTGTTCCGATCAATGATTATACAAAATATACGTATTCAAAATCCATTCTCGCATTTGACTTATTTAATTCCGTTATTCATTAACGCGATTTAAGATGATGATTGTATACGAGGATAGTCAGGATGTATATTTTGAAAACAATCATTCATACGATCTAAATGGAGTCAGATCTCGGGTCATAAAAATCTTTTGAAATAGAACATTAATCAGAATACACTAAAATGATCATTCAGTTTTGGTGAGGAGTATTATCATTCTGCTATTAAATAACTTAGCAACAAACTTAAGTAGGCTCAATATTCAATAACTACTAGAAATGACTTATTGTTTCATAATTTATTCACTACCCAAACAAAAAGAATCTTTATTATTTTTTATTATAAAAAAGGCATTCAATTTGATACGTGAATGGGAACGTTTCAAATTAGTACAACAAGTACAAATTCAAAGAGAGCAAAAATTAAAAATGTTACGTCATAAACAAGAGCATAGACGTCTTGATGAATATCATCGTTATCTACGGCATTTTTCAACGATGCTTACCAATGAAAAAGCCAAACAATTTAAAAAAGCACAAAATTTTTATGACTTCAAAAAAATTATCATCGGTACTAAAGGTGTTAAAACAGATTTGAAATATAATGAAAAAACGATTAATTCACGTTTAGATTCACAATCATTAACAGAACGACAAAAAATTCATGAATCATTATCATCTTCAAATTTAAATGAAATACAGTTTTCTGGTGGAATTGGTGGAGGAATATTTGCGGATAGTTTACGACTACGAAAGATAAGTAATCGTGAAGGTCGTGCAGTTGTACCTGACAGTAGTAATAATAATAAACAAAGTCCATTGAAAATAAATTTAGCAACAGAATTTTCACATATCTTGAGTAAAACTAATGAACAATTATCAAAAGATCTACAATCCGATGAAGTGAAAATCGATTCTGGGGGATATCCCAATGAAGAGTCATGTAAGTCATGTCTTGATAATGATAATAATAATGGTGATAGTTCCATTTATATCCTTTTACGATCTCTATGGTTCAATAGTTTTGACTTATATGGTTACTGATGTAAATCTATTGTATGCAATAACAGTTAAGTGATTAGGGATATCATAGCCTATTTCTAACTAGGGATTTCTTTTATATATCAAGAAGTCCGAGACAAATGCTATAATTTTAAGGAATGTAGTATTTAAGCATCGAGGTTTAAATTTGAATTACCTAGGATTCGATGTCACTACCTCTTAGTAGTCATATTTCCTACAATTACGTTAGATTATCTAAGTGAGTCTCAGAAAATTCTGTCGATCTCATCCAGGTTACACATACACCTTAGTGATAAATTCCACCAAACGAGTTTTTTGCTTATAGCTCCCTACCGTTTAAATCTGAAAGTTGTATACAATAATTTCCAGTGACTTAACATAGTGAAGACACCATGAAAACATTACCTAAGCAAGAAATAAAGTAATGTATCACATTGCTTTATTGTTTGCAACACAGTATCAATGTATTTCAAGAGTTATCCTAAGAAACAATTCATATTATTATCAGAAGGGGTTTTGTGGAGATTTTAGAAACTTCACTGACTGAAATCATCACTCCTCAGCAGTGCTGAGGAGTCCCATAATAGGACAAAACGACAGTACAGTGCTTCCAGGTTTTCCATAGTGGTCTAGCTTCAAGTGACTCATGATTTCAATCAGTGAAATTCATATTATATTGTTTCATTACGCGAATTTTGATCAACTATTGCTGATTTTATATAAACAATTGAATGAAATATGATAGCTTTATGATAGCTATACAAATACTTCGAATAGTTTTCTAAATCAGAGGTAAACTAATCTCTGATAAAAAGTATATTTTCATTTTTCTATACCATTGAATGTATCATTGATTAGTGATAACGTAAGTAGAGAAAAATGCATTTTTGACGTCAAACAAGCTATGATCTAAGTAATAAAAGTATTTTAAATGCTAAATTTTATGACTGACTCTGTCTAGTTCCTATGTTTTGTATGCTTTTTTGATTTCTACAACGGATTACCTGGGTTATATACGTTACAGTACTTGTTCCATTGGGTTTAACCATGTTCAATTCCAAAACTAGTCAACAGTTCAATCAAATATTCAAATATTTTTAAATAATCAATAGTTTATTCTCAGAAGGGGTTTGTGGAGATGTTAGAAATTTCACAGATTGAAATCATGAGTCAGTTGAAGCTAGACCACCATGGGAAACCCGGAGGCACTGGACGGCCGTTTCGTCCTAGTATGGGACTCCCCAGCAGTACGCACCCACGATCCCGCATCCCGCGAGATTCGAACCCAGGAGCCCTTCTGATAATAATCAACTGCTCACTAGTGACTGACTTCAAGAGATACGCCTGGAGTTCTAGTGAGAAGTCGTTACCAGTGGAGTTCAACCAGGTCTGTTGTGAGATATCAGCCCACTGAAGACAATAGTATACGGTGGCGCAACTTCGTGGATTGGTTGATGTTAGAGATTAACACCACTGGATGCCGGCTCAGCGGTCTAGTTGGTTGAGCGCTTGTGCGCGGGGCTGATAGGTCGTGGGTTCAAATCACGAGAGGCGGGGTTGTGGGCGCGCACTGCAGAGGAGTCCCGTGCTAGGGCGAAATGGCCGTCCAGTGCTTCTGGGTTTTCCATGGTGGTCTAGCTCCAATTGACTCATGATTTCAATCTGTGAAATAGTTTATTTGTTTAAAGAAACAAGCTATTAAATTACATTATTTAATGGTAAACTGCACAAGTAGTGAATTATTTACCATGGATATTTTTGATTCGTGTATTCACTATTACAATGGTATGTTCTTTGCCAATGCTCTGAACCAAATAATAGCATTAGTTTTTTTTTAAAACATGCATAAAAAGCCTTAATAAGGTAATCTGGTTAGGATGATTTAAACAGCACTATGGTATTGTACGATTAAACCTTTGAGTGTTTTAGGATCTGGTAGACAGCTCCAAAAAACCTTGAATTGTATTTTCAAATTAAATTCTAATCAATTACACAGTTGTAAGTAAAACGATTTCATGAAGTTCTCATCTATGTCATTTCCATCAAATAGAGATATGAATCTCATTATCATATGAGGCTTTCTATGGTAGAATCTCCTAGTTTAAAAATTCAATTAAAAAGATACAGATGACCTAAATTCTTCCTGTATAAAATATGATTAATTATCGAGTCTTCTGGAGTAGAATTATAGAGTTTAGGTTTTACTTTCATTTAACTTTTCATCAAAAACATCATCTTTGCATTTTAAGTAACTTCGAATATTACATCTTTATGATGAATAAAGCAGTTAGATGTGTTGCACAAGCTTCCAATTCTAAAACGTTCATACAAAAATATTAACATTAACCAGTTTATCTTACTGTTTTCCTGGTTGAATTCTTGTTAAAAATTTGAAACGACAAAATAAATCAAAATCATATTTGAAATGTTCCAAGTTATTAAAATTTCAAGTAATTTCAACATTTTGTTAAACAAACTGGATTGAGCTTCTGTCAAACTGTTCGTTCAATTTTCAACGACTATTTATAGAAATGTAGACATGGCAACTGGAAACTGTTAACAATTACTAAGATCGATCTGATCACTTGGAATAACAAATCTAAGATCATTTTTCATAAGAATAAATTATTCCTGTCAATAATAATAATAATAATAATAATAATAATAATAATAATAATACAAAATAGTTAAAATTCAACTATATATTTATTCTGCAGATTCGGAAGATGAATTAAGACGAGCTTTTGAAAATTATCAAGAATTCAAAATGATATCTTGCCAACCACAGAATCGAACATTATGTACAGAAGCACTTCTTCGTCTTAATCATGATCACCAGCAACAACACCAAGAACCAAATCATGACCATCATCATCATCATACAGCTCTTATTATACCACGTGGTATACACATTCAAAGATGTGGTCAACAAGAAATTTCACGTTGTAATCATTATACAAACTCATTTTCAAATTATGATGAGGAATATGATTATGAGCGATCAGAATTCACACAGCTTTCATCATCTTCATCTAACAGTCATGTAAATTATGATGACCAATATTTAGATATATTAAATGATCGAAATCAGTATACATCTTGTAATTGTGAAACACTTGAAGAAGAATGTTTACCTATAAAGGTTTCATTAAAAACATTTGCAGTTGCTGTGATGCAAGTAAGAACAGCGATTAATCCTCATATTTTTTGTTTCATTCTTATCTACCAAACTGACACTTCAAAGCCTTAACTTATTAGTTTTTAAAATATATAATCATACTACTTATGAGTAAGGTTAAGCCAATAAAGAAATTACTAGGTTTGAAGTAAACACAAACTATGGATCAGTCACAAATAGGACAGGACGTGTGTCCTGGACTCCATTGCTAGCCACCATTTATCTTTGACCATAATGCTTGTGACTTTAGTTAATATTGAGACAATCCATACAGAATGTACATGCCCCAAAAGTGACTGATCAATTACAGTCCTAAACATAAATCGGGATATTCAAACGACCAGTAAAAATAAATCACCATTACTAATTTTAATGAGTAATCTCGTCTCACTGTTATAATTACTGATAAATTGTACCCTTTCTTTGCATAGTAAAATACTTGTACATAAATATGTATTTCTGAAGTGGTTAAACAGTCTTCACTTTGGATCTCTATAGTTTTCAGCATCTATCAAGAAATAAAAACAATGAAATTTACTAGTGGACTTCTAATTTTAAAAAAAGTAGTCACTTCAAATTCGTCAAGAAATGAATGTTTCAGGGCCCGAATCAGCCGGGTATTTACTAGTCTACTAGATGCCAGTTATTGACTAAAATAAGGGATGTATTTATGGTATGTGATTGTCGTTCAATGATGTCTATTTTTATATACTACAGACGTATCATTTATAATCCATATTATAACGTTTTGGTAACTCTGAATGGCGAGTATTTCTGTTATATATATTTTCGGGAGAATTTCTGACCATATCATCAATAACTAAGCAATCTCTTCATTCGAGCTCCTGTAAGACGTGAATTCGAATCCAGGATTTTTTCCACGATTGCATATTCATTTAGCTGGTAACGACTAACACAGATTAGCAGTTTTCAATATACTGATTTAGTTCTTGTTATATTGGAGTGTTATTGATTGATTGACTTCAAATAAAAACTTTTTAGTTCAATGTCTTCCTCTTAAAAAAAAAACAATTTTAGATTGTACCGTTTGGAAATTTCACTCATTCAACCGAACTGATTGCATTAACAAATCATTTACAGTGTGGATGTCAACCACGGTTAGTTTCATTATATAAAATAAATTCATTCAACAAAAATTAAACATGTACATTAATCTGTCTAATAAATATTAGAATTGAGTTTATACCAATCTGATTTTATTAAATTAAGAATATGCCAGTCTAATCCATTACAAAATACTCCCATTTATGAAAAGTCTTATCCTATATTCATTTCCTTTGTTGAAAATATCCATGAAAGTTCTAGCAAGTCATACTTTTCATTTGTCTTCATGTTTACTACGTAAGTGTCTCTATATTGTGTCAGTACCACTCGTATACAAGCATTAAGTATTTTAGAAACAAGAGGAAATCACAAAGGGCTAAGTTTGTTGAGTATGTAGGGTGATCTACATTGATGAATGAGTCATACGTAGATATTCCCTGTTTAATTTACAAGAAGACTACCATGACTCAGCAACCGTTCACTACACAAGTTTCGTTTCATTCACACCTATAATCCCTCAAGTACTTCACGCAGAGGATGATATTCACGAAGAAATTTGTAATTGACAACATCGTAACTGTCAAAATGACTAGTGACAAGAAAAACATGAGTACTTCAGAGTACCAATAAAATGTTTACGGAAACTACAGCTTCCATCGATTGACAGCTAGAAAAAGGATAGCTACTAAACCCAGACTGACTCAGAATAATCGAGGTTTACGTATTATGTTATTCGCCGTATTTCCATAAGTAGTAGTTTAGTTCACGTGTTTACTGGAAAACTGATATACATGATTTAATGTGACTAATTTTTGAATTCATTAATCAAGCACTTTATGAATAGGGATTTTATATGAAATCTATGAAAACTACTAATTTGCTGAATATTCTTAGGTTGAGTTATCTGTAAATCTATTTAATGGTTAAGGGTAAGAAATGGTACTAATCACTAGATTTAATTATATTTGATTCATTAAGAGGTAGATTTCCACATAAATCTCCAGGATTCGTTTTATGACAAGTCACAAGTGTACAATTATTAGAATTTACAAACTAAACTTTCCCTTTACTAATCAACAATTACAACTGACTTATTTAGTGAAAGAAAAATATGTTCACTACTTCATATTCATCAGTTAAGATGTAAAAGAATACGTAAACCAATGATTTGTGTTATTTTTCATTATTACATTTCAATTTAATAGCTAAGATCATGAGTCAATTGAAGTTAGACCACCATGGAAAACCTGGAAGCACTGCACAGCCAGTTCGTCATATTGTGGGACACCTCAACAGTGAGCATCCACGATTCCGTCTCACGGGGTTCGAACCCAGGACCTATTTTAACTATAATTCCACTATATAACAAAATACTGATAAATATAATGTTGTGTTGAAGTGTTGTCTATGTTCAAGATAGCCTTGAAATACTTTTAATTATTTACTGAATCTACTGTTTGTTTGATACAAACTTTTTTCATTTATAAACTTGAATAAGAAGAAGGAACAAATATTGTAACACAACAATATGAATCCAATTATCCTCTGGATTCTCCACGGCTACTTACAACCTAAAAAACATCGTATTGATCATGAAAAATAAACAAATGTGCATCCTTTATATCGGAAACATTTAGAATAAATTGAGTCAACATGTTGACAACAATGTAAATTCCTGTGTATTATTATTCCTGAATATTATTCTATTTCCAAATAATTGACTCAATTTGTTCTAGACGTCTCCAATATAAAGTATTTATACTTGTTTATTTTTAATGGTCGATACGATGGGTTTTCGGTTGTAAGCAGTTGTGGAGAATCCATAGAATATTTTTTGCTCATTCGATGTTATTGTGAAAGTTTTATTGTTCGTCAACTAGAAGTAAACATCAATGATAACGTACAGAATGGCAAATAGTAACTTCATAATTAAATCTTTTAATTCGGATAATCTAACAACACCAAATGAATTCATTTTTGAATTACTGTTGTGTTCGTATGAACTAATGATTCCTTTGTACGTGTTGACTGCTTGATTTCGAATTCCAAATACAATACGTTTGTTCGTGCCCATCTAATACTTCTTGGTTAAATTGCATTATTTCTGGGATTCTTAATTTGTACTATAATTCAAATGCTTATAATCATCACAATTACATAATATATCTATCATTTCAAAGTGTTTATTGATATCGACAAACAAATTTTCGATTATGTGTTAATATTACTTTTAAGGTTAAGATCAACTGTTCAGAACTATGTTTAGAATAAAACAGTACTAATGAACTTAAATTATGATCATGTTTGTCAGATAAACTGAGCAAACTGAAATAAAAGGAAATTATAATGATTAGAATTATTCAAATTATTGTACCAACTAGGAATTCCTGAAATAGTGTCATTTACTGTATGTAGAACTAGACGTACACAAATGAATGTATTGTACTTAGAATTCGTAATCAACAGGCAATCCACTACAAAAGAATCATTAATTTGTACAAATACTATAGAAATATAACAAATTTGAAAAGAGGAAGGCATCCTCATTTTGGAATCAGTTTATATCCAACTTTGATTTTACTTACTAATATTCAGTTGCATAGTTTATCATGTTATTAAAAAGATTAATTGGTGTTTAATAACAAAATCACATTTTGTTTATATTAAATCTTGATATGTGTAACTTCGTAATACAACTGTATGTTAAAAGAGATGTGTAAAACTAATAAATGCAGAATCTCTATTTCTGTTAGGTTATTATGAAAACGATATGATGGTTTCATCTATGTTTTTAGTTATTTGGCGTTTAAACATGCCTATTAGGTATAGCAAATGAGTGGGAAGATAACAGTTATTCATATTACTTTTCCAAGCTAACAGTCTTTGATTTAAAAAGCAGACTAAGAGTTTAGAAAACCTTGCTCCATGGATACATGAATTTGTGAACCAAATGGAACTCTTATCAATAAGCGCTTCGGTGCCAGATTATTTCTTCTATTACAATAAGAAAATATTAACCATTCAGAAATTTGATGAAAGATTATTAATTTAATATTAAGATCAAGCTAAACATTCTATTGACAGTCTATTTTTTTATATGATATAATGGACAGTACATCTACTTTATCAACTTCATTAACTTCCAAATATTTTTTAAATTTTTCTCATATGCCCTACAATTGGATTATAATAAAAAAATATAGCTGCAGTAATCGACTATGTATTGCTCCACTGAAATTTATTATGCACACATTTTCAGATTGTGCATGTGTATGTCAACCGAATGATAAACGATGTTTTGAATTGTTGGAAGGGAAACGTCAATTCACGGCTGAAGAGTAAGTATTCTTTTGCAGTAAATTGTTTTTAGTCATCAATAAGTTTGAATGTATCAATTAAAGTGAACTCTCCTTATTATTGTTCTATAGCCTATTATGTCATGTATTTAAAGATGGGATGTGGCTCGAGTAGCTTAGTGGTAATGGTTGTAAATCAATTTCTTTAAGACTGTAGATATTCCTTGTTTGTGAGAATCAACTATCATGAAAACTAGACCGATCTCATCGTACCAATTTCCTCTGATCATCTTTAATTAAAACAAAGAACACTCCCAAACTGGTGATAAAATTACAGATTGGTCTGTAAAATTTAATCAGAGCTATAGATCTGACAAACGTGATATTGACTACAATTTTGGAATTATTTAATGTATTGGTAGAAATCATATGGCTAACTGTCCGGTCTAGGAAGTAGTAGCATTTCTTCAACATTTTATGTACAAATTGACGATTAGTTGTGAATTATATATATTTGAGCATATGTATGCTTCCATAAATGCTAAACAAACTGATTAAACTCTGTAGAACTTGACAAAGAATCGGATGACGTGGGTGTTTTTGTCAATGATGTTTAACCATTGAATAGCAAACAAGGTCACGTTAGAATATGACTTGGTTTGACGATAGTCTTGTGATGCTACTTACAATTTTAATATGGAGCCTGTAAAATAATAACAATAATGATAATAAAGGTGTCTGATTTCTTTAAACAGAAACATAGTTACATAACTTTCTAGAAAAAATACATCAAGTTTATGCTGTTCATGTGCTGTGATATTCACTATTTTCTTTGTTTTACAGAATTCCATTACCACTGAATGGTTCTTACATCTTACCACCTTGTCGTTATGGTGTAATGGATGATTTACACTTATATCATAGACATTGCCCCGGACCAACTAGAAATACGCTTCCAATTAAATAATATGACAACATAAAATGAAACTAATGGGAAACTTATTTCTCTCACCTACCAGTAGCCAGGTGTCAAATAGTTTAACAATTATATATGGTTTTTAGTAAATAAGCCACGGAAATGGAGTATAACTAGGCAAAATCGTGCAATCTATCATATTCTTTTTCAGTTGTCTTCTGTATTTTCATTGACATTACAGTTACCACTCTGATTTATACATGCATACATACAAATTAGACATCAATACAAACATACGATATCCGTCATTGTCTCTATTGTAAATCGAAAACTTTGCTTAACCATAAAAATCTCAATCACTTTTTAAATGTATATAGTATCAATTATCTATATTCTATTGAATGAATTTCTGATAACTAAATATATTTCTAGTATACTCTCGTTGGGACTAACTGCAATAATGTTTGATATGAAAGATAAAGAGTTATTTATACTGTCTTATCTGTGTAATTGTTATAAAACTCATGATATGAGAATGAAGTTGTAGAATGCGACTAGTTCAATGGGTCGTCTTGACAATACTAGGTTCATTATATTTTATTACTTAGTATCGATTAGATATTCGGAACTGAAGTCAACGAAATCTACTCATTCACTAAGTTATATAATAAACCGGAAACATTAAACATGTGGATTAAATAGTATCTGTCCCAGTCACTAAATTACATAAGTTTATTGACAGTCTAATGATGGATGAAGAGAACTACAATGACGTAGATATCGAAGCGCATATTTTGGGGACCCTTTATCATCACTATGAGTTAATATACTTCCCATAAAAAACTCTTCGTGAGATGATATAATTAATAATGTTGCAGCACAATAGTTATAACTAAATATATTTTTATGAATAGATGAACGAGGCTTAGAAACAACAAAGTTATGTGAGTAATCTCAATAATCATAGAAATGTAACATAAATCACTTGTAATAAAGTATAGTTTTTCGACCCAGTCTGGTACATACCTAAAATTGCTATAATCCCATCAAGTTTACATGTGTATCTTTTTGACATGAAGCTACTATATAACAGAAAATATTTCAAAGTTTTCATTATCATTTTCACCTCAGTAACATTTTAATTCAGCCTTTAAATTTACTCTTCTCTAGATGAGCCAAAATGAGACTGAGATGTTTCATCTAACTATGAACCACAAAACAGCGTTTAATTGTTCATCTCAATATGATTGATTAATCGTTCTTCTTACTTACTGAAAGCCTGGTTTGTGTGTTCGACTATCAGCTATACTTTTTGTGACTAAAGACTGATGAAATTATCTGGTTTTCTAAAGTGAAATAGATGAGGTCGAGTTTCAATTTGAAACTTGAGAATCGAATATAGAGCCCTTCATTTGATGCCTGACTGTTCCATCACATTTGCATTATAGGTAGTGAAAGCAACCATAAAAAGTGTTAATTAAAGTACCTACAACATTTGATATGAGAAAAGACACCTGCATATCAAATAAACATGTAGGTGTGCACTTAACCTCTAAAGAATCGAGAAAGGTAGATTTGCATAAAACTTGGAGATCCTAATGGACTTCTCAAATACCATGTTAAATTATTCTTTTCAGTCAACTGAGTGAAAGAGGTTAATCATGTATATACAACCATCATAATTTATCTACAATTCATCGGGTCAAAATAGGTAAAAATATTTGTACTTTCTCAACCACAAAGTCAAATATGTAACCCAAAGAAATTAATCCGAACCAAAACAGAATTATTGAAGTATGGGTTTATCAAGTTTAATGACCGAAATGACATTGAATAGCTCATTGTATAGTCAAATCTGTAGACGAATAATATACAGATTACTATGGTGAAGACAATCAGGTCTTTCGGAACTCACCATACCATGTGTATAACATTTCTCTGTCATTTTACTTAGTGGTGTGGCGACACAATTTGTCATTACTTATCAACTCCTTTAAATCTCAGAGTAAAGTAACTTCCTTGTGATAAACCGATATCGTGGCACTTATCACATTTTGACTTTAATGAAGTTTTATGCGCTTCCCGTCAAATTAACGTCCTTTGTTGCCTTGGTAGATTGATGTGGGTGGTGACTAACCATTCCGTTTTATTCCCAGCCTATGTTCATGTGGAAACCCCGTTTATCAACGTACACACGAACACAGACTAGCAATTAAGCGACATGATATATTACTTTATGGGCAGTAAAATAATACCGAACACTAACAAAGTAGTATTTTTCATTCTCAACATTGCTCAGACACCGAAGACTAATAATCGAACAGAGATTTGTTAGTACAATCTCGAGGTCAATTATAGCCAACATGGATTTCTTTGTGGATTGAGTAGGGTTGACACATCAAAAATGCTGACTGTGTTGTGCTTGTGTTATTCTTCGTTCTGCTTGTCTGACTTCACATGTTGTTTTGTTAAAACTTAAGCAGGATAACCTGGACACCAGATTACGGTGGACCAGGCTGGAGAATTGTTGGATTTGTGGTGGTCGTTATTCAATACAATCCTTAAACTTCGTATACAGTTCGTCTTGATAACCGTCACTAGATAACGCACCAACGGTGTATTAATCAGAAGGCGAATACGAAGTGTTTATTACGTTTATTATTGCACTACACACAGATATCCTAATTTACAAGTACGCTAAGCAAGCATGAAAGAGTAGTGCGTACGAGTCGAATGAGCGAGCATGTGAGCGAGTTCACAAGTCAACGAGACAATGAACATGATTAAAATATACATATATATACATAGTGAAATGAATGGATCATCGAATAAATTAAGCAGCTAATAATAAAGCTAGCAGAATGAATATATGCGTAGGCGGTAAGCAATGCTCAAGAATACGTATTCATACAAGTTTAAAAATAACAAAGGTACAATAATATAGATAATTTTTTATTGTACTGATGACTCTATCCGTTGAATAAGTTAAAAAAGGGCTTAACCAGATTAAATGTGAACAAACTCAATTGCATGTGAGCTGCTGTAGATTGACTGGCGTAAAGTCGAATTTTATCCAATTCTATTACTTTGCTTGCATCAGTGGACACAAACAACCACTGATATGCATTTGTTAAGGGAAACGTCGGAAACCTACACAAAAAAGGTCTATGGAACCCTAAAGAATCTCCAGGATTATAACTTCCAGACCAATCTGCTTTTAAATATTTGATGAGCAGATAAAGTGAAATGAAGGCCGAAAAATTACGATAAAAAACACAGAAATAGGAAGGAGTCACTATGTCCTGTAGTCTAGTGGGTTCATTTAGATTCAGAGTTGTATAAGCTGGCTAATCTGTTTAAATTATTCACGTATTGAGTCAGACTGGTGTGTTAACTGTAACAGGAGCATATGAACATTCACTTATTGACTCTGAAGATCAGATTTATTTGAGTGAATCTTATATCCATATAGTCGGCTACAACAAGTTTAATACTTCATACTTTCGAACCATATAACTGCGTTATGTTTCTCTTCAGTTTAAAAATGCTACATTTGAATGAATAGGACTTAATTAACTGACTGACAGGTTATTGTATAACATTTATTACCTTGTATGTAGATCACTTGTTGAAGCCTTATCACATTGCATCCGAAAATATGTAAATGAACTGTTGATGCAGAAACACTATGAGTTTTGCCTTTCAGTATGCTGAGTGATGACTTACTTACAAGCTAGCTTGTACTCCACTTCTCTGATTCTCTGATTTAGGCGAGGCACCATAATGCACAAATCAATCCACTCACATACTTTTAGGCTATATTTAATCAACCTTTCATAAAAATCAGGTCAATAAATCTAGGGGGCTCAAAGGATTTCCGTCAAACAGATGCACGGTTTCTAATTGGTACTGATCCCTCAAAATATCCTGACCTTGAGCGAAACTGTTCCTTCTTGTCACCCTTTTCAGAAGCATGAGGTATATATATATATATATATATATATATATATATATATATCAAATGACTACCTGACATTGTGTGGACTATCGTGACAATGTTGTTTCTCGATGTGATATATGTTCAAGGAGAACGTCTGTTACAATGGGGACGTCTATTTGCTCGATCGCGATTGATATCAAGACAGATTATGATAATCGTTGCAAACTTTACAATAAAACACCAGTAACACTGGCTGCAATCTTTGCAGGTGTAACTGAAGCCTCGGCATTTGAATGGTATGAATACTATCAAGATATGTGTGATGAAAATGACAAGCTTGCATCAGTTGTTTGGAAGAATCAGGAGAATAGTAGAAATCGACGAAACAGTCGTTAGAAAACGCGAACTCAATGGAGGAAGAAGTGCTAGAGAAGACTGTGTATGTAGAACTTCCTCAAATATACTAAATAGGTCCCTAATATGCATGATAGATCATTTCAAATGAGGCACTTCCAACTCATGAGAAACCAGTAATCCACAAATATGGTATTAACCACACGAGAGTACGTGCTGTCGGGCAACACAACATACACAGATGACGGGAGAGCAGGTCGTTGTCTATCTAGACTTGGTTACGTGCATCGTATCGTCGTTTACAAGTGACGATTTGCAGACTTAACCAAAATATACTATTGAATAAAGCCACTAATAATAATACCGAAGCACACACCAAAAAGACAGAAGCAATACGTTGAGGCTGAAAGAATGTTTGTTACCTTACCATGGCCCCAGAATTCGACTTTTGGGGAGTCACATGGACATGTCCTTGTGTTGTGGGTTTAATGTAGTGTCCAGTATGTAAAACGTGTTAGAAAATCTGGGAAGAGCAATAGCTAGAAGAAGTGAACCCACGTCAGGCATTTACTAAAGGAAACACTCAATCATAATAAATAATAACACAGGATTAGGATAAGGAAAATCTGACAACCGAAACTAGCTCACAGAATGAAATTTGAAGGGATTAAGTCGTCAGTAGACATGACACATAATATCTTACGTATGGTATAATCGACAGCAAGGTCCGAATCTTCATCATAAACTCACAGATGGT